TGGCCTCCAACAGCTCTTTTGGGAACTGAATCACACCATGCTCCAGCTTACGAAACCGGGCTCTCCAGCACCGATGGCCCCTCTGCCTTCATTTGACATTTCTTTCCAATGTGGGACTGCAGTGCTGGAGCTGTTCCTCAGCTGTGTCTGGGAATCTCTCACTTCACACWGGTGGCCCTTCTCACCTTTAACCACTGAAAACCCCTGACACTCCTCTGTTGGTACCACTGCAATTCAAAATGTGTTTATGCTGAGGGCGTGGTAAGGCTGGAATTCCTGACCTAACCCCTGGCTCTCCCTGTTCCTGATTCTCCCACTCTAAAATCCTGGAGTTACTCCTCAAGAGAGGAAAGCAAACAGATTCTGTTGATCAATCCTGAGGCAGGAGTCAAGCCCTGCATTCCTCCTGATTGTTTSTACCATCAGTTGGCCAAGGAGAGCATTTCATCCTACAGTGATGGTGTCCTCATTACCATAAAAATGAATCCAAACTATCCCTTTTCCCCCAAGGCTGGAAAYATCAAAATAGGTGAAAAGCCAAAATAGAAGTTCTGCCTGAAGAATTACTGCTCCCCAGGCAGATTCCTCCTGTCCTATCGTTGTTTTATGGCTTTTCCATAATAAATAGGGAGAAAAGGCTGTAAAAACAGCATGRCCCATCATTTCTGCTTTCCCATGACCGTGAGCTTTAAGGAGCAGCACTGAAATTGGTGAATTTACAGCAGCATAGCTGAACTCAACATTTGCCCTGTACTTCCCATCACCTCATCTTCCAYAGCAAAACATTCCTGCTGAAAGTCTGAGGATCAATTCAGGTGYCACCTGAGCATTCAGGGTCAGGCTCTGCTTTTGTCAGGAGGGTTGAGTCCTTGGAAAGAGAAGGAAATATATATAGTGTGTGGCTTATGTGAAAGTCAGTACTTAGAACAAAAGCAGGGCAGGWATCCGAGGGTGGACAGAGTGTGCTGCCTCACTCACCCATCCCTGCAGTGCCACAATGTGCAGGGACAGGCACTGCCAGGCTCTCCTCTCTGCCTAATATTCTGCTGGTTTTACTAACTGCATTTAAGGACATATTTCTTCAGCTCTGAAAAAAAAAAAAAAAAAAAAAAAAAACCAGCAAAAAAAGTATTGTGCTGGTGGAGATCCAGCACAGGTCCCCTCATTGGAGTCAGTCTCCCAACAAGCCCAGAGCTGGGCTGCTTATTTCTTCACAGAGTTCCCATTTGGCTTTTGCTGAAGGGAAGGGAGTGTCAAGTTGGACTGTGTTCTTTATTTACTTGTTTTTCAGCATATCTCAAATCTGACCAGGATGTAACCTTTTTTGAGGCATGTGAGCCAAAGTCAGCTGAAGAGCCTGGAGTGGCTTTCAAAAGCAAGCCTCACAGCATKAGAGAATATGGGATTTGAGGAATGGGGGGACTTGCAGAAATGTGCATTTCCGTGGCCACAGGATCTGTTATACAGGCAGAGTCAAACCTACATGGTTATGACAGACTTCCCAGAGCACTCACGCCCTCAAATATTCCATCCCTGAACTCTCAGCTTTGTTTTCCTGTGCAGTCAGTCAGTATTGTTTCATCCAGAGAGATGTGTAGCTTTGGAGATCTATAATCACAGGTGAAATCATGCTCTGCAGTCATCATTTCTGACAGGACTGACAGAGTTGTTGTGCTTGACTCCAGTGGCAGAGCCGCAGTCTGAGCAAGCTCGTGCTGAAAATACAGCAGGAAGAATTTAATAACTGTGACATATTGAGCCAGATCATCACAGCCTTTATTCAAACTCTGTTTGAGTGAAGTATTTTATTTTGCTGCGGTGTGTTTGGTTGAAAATGGATACTTAGACCTCTGAATTCTAGATTTGCAAGTTGAAAATCTGGTTTGGATTCTCAGTTTTAAAGGCTCATGGAAAGGGTGCACACAGCCAGAAATTATCATTGAGCCACTGCACAACCACAGGACCAGCAGGGAACCACACACACTGGATGTGAAGCCAGACAGATGTGAAACAGTTTAAGAGTTTTTGGACACTGAGTSTGCTGTGGGGACGTGCACCAGCAGCTCTGTGCACTGCAGCTCACACTGCCCTGTTGAAACCAAGGGACCTTGTGAGAGTGCTGTGATGAGGAACTCACAGAGCTCATGATTCTTGTGACTCTTCTCTGTCATCTCCCTTGCTGTTGTGTCCCTTGAGTGTGAGGCAGCCCCTGGTTAGTTCCAGYTCCTGGGTGAAGGTCGTTCCCCTCRTCCTRCACCCACTGTTTGGCCACTGGCACTGTGGAACCACGACAGMAGATTCATTCCCAGCAAAACCCAAAGCAAATAGCTTTGCATCAAGGATGAGCCTGACCTTTCATTCTTAACAGTTCTAAAGGCAAAAGGTCAGAGAAAAACACRTCAGTATTCTTGACTGTATTGATGATTGCTCGTGCAAATGTCTTTCACCTGGTGGAAGGGGTCTTAGCTCTTCACCCGAAGCTTTCTCAGCTGGGGGATTCAAACTTTCAGTGTACTCATTCACTGGGGGAAAAAGTGTGGTTTCTTGGAGGGGAAGAACAGAAAATAGTAAAATAAAAGACCATGGCCTGGCAATGCCCCCTGGCTAACCATGTGCAAGAGGCAAGGATAGTATCAAAGCAAAGGCTTGCACAGCCTTCCTCTCCCACATGTGAAGACAAACTGCTGCTCAGGCTTTGCTTTGTGCCATCTGAGCCAGGAATGGGAGCTTGGCACTTAAATCTGCAGTTAAAGGGGGATTCATTATTAATAAGTTATCAATAAAAAAACCCAAACCCTGAAGAAATTTAAGGAGGAACTTGTTATAGGATTGCACATGTTGGATTCCACAACCATTACTGTGCCTGGTACAAGCAGTCATTGGTATGTGATGGGAGCAGGGGAAATTCTCYACACTGAGGACCAAGGAGGCTTTCCAGACCTGCCTCTGTCTCATCCAAAAATAGACCAAAGACTCACAGTTCCAGAGCAGGGAGTCATGGCCCATTTACAGACCTGGGCCACAGGGGTTTGCTGTCTCTGCTTGCTCAGCTGTCTGAGCACTGGAGAGAGGCAGAGACSAAGCAAGTGAGGCAGCACTGGAGAAAAAAAAAAGAAGTTGAAGTGCAGAACTCTCTCAGGGAAAATGTTCCTCTCTCTGGACTGCTCATCTCATGTTAACCTGCTACATTTGGAGTTGAATAATATGCAGATAACACATTGGAGGACCATAAAGTGAGTGGACTGGATGCATATAAAAGCTGTAAAAGACTCACTTTCCATCTGTAACAAAAATCAGTTWAAAGTTAATAGATCCTCTAGCCACACACATGGTTTCACTTCTGGAGATTATCGTGACTTGTATTTTAATTTGCTCTTTGATTTGTTTCTGGTCACTGATCCATGGAGGATGCTTGCTGTACCATACTTTGGCAGGAATTGGAGTGTGTGCATGGAAAGCAGAACTGGTAATATGTTATTTATAATTGATCAGCATGACGTGTATGGGTTTTTCTGGCAGCCAGCGTGGCCGATTGCAGCCTTCACTGCCAAAAGATCAGCCACAGAGACCACCTGGCAGGACAAAAGAACAAGTTTGGGGTTCCTTTTTTCCTAGATGGGATGGATTTAGTCCAGCTTTTTATTAGAAGTTCTGCCTAATTTGCAAGGTGATTTTTTTGGGTGGCTTACAAGAAAATTGAGACATACTGGTTTCCGCTGGTGCAACTGCTGCCAGCAGATCTGCCTGTCTTTGTGGCTGTGTCAGCAGTGCTTTTCTTTGCTCAGCACTGCAAGGGGATCCCTCCAGCATGTCAACAATTACCAGACACTTCACCTCCTTTAAAAGTCACTGCCTCTTTGTGTCTATAAATGTGCCTCAGTGCCCACTGGAGGAGACACCTSACAGGAAGAAGATGTTTGAGACCCTTTTACCCTATCCCATATGGGTGGGACGAATTTTCCCCTTCTCAGTTTTCCTTAACAACCTCACAAACAGGGACAAGCACAGGGGCTGTTTCTAATCCTATTTGTGATAGACAATAACATGCATGGGTGATCAGGTAAGCATGCAAATGGCTTCCCCAAAGTGGTGTTAATTTCAAGCCTCTGCAAGCTCAAAATTGCCTGGAGCTGTGTTGGTGGTGATGCTGGCTCCACCTCTGCCAGGGATGCCACTGTTCCCATGGCAACTCACCATCTCCTGTTTTAATTTTCCCCTTCCCTTCCATTAGGCAAGATAATTCCCAGATACWGAGTGAGGAAACAGTGTCCAGGTGCGTCAGCACTTGTTTAGGAGGAGGATGCCACTGGATATTTGCCCACTGCAGGCTGTTGCAGCCTCCATCACTTGACTTCTTACCTCATACAGAGGAGATTTCCAGCCCATCCAGGGCTCCAGGGAATCACGAGAAAAAGCAGGACTGAAAAGCTTTTGCACATCCAGGCCCTGGAAAAGGCGGTGTCCGTGGTCCATTAAGTTTATAGCAGCTRTATACTTCAGAATCTTTCTGTTTCTCACCAAGATGCCACCCAGCAGTGACAGCTGTACAGTGAGCCACAGACCCCAGAGGATGTGAGCCCTGAGGCAGACCCTCATTTCCCAGGATGCAGTGACTCACCATCTCCAAGGGAAGGAAAGGCAGCCCTTCCCCGTCCTGATGTTTGAGGCTGATTCAGTACCCTTAGCTTTGAAAAGTGGGTACAAACACAGGGGAATAGAAGTCCAAATTTAAATCCTCTTAGAACCCCTTAACGTTCTGTGATGCTATGATTTTTTTTTTCTTTTTTATATCAGATCATGGACAGTATGGCACTTCACAGCTCTGTGCAGCTTCCTTTGTATTTCTGTAGCACTTTGTCTGTTGAGAGATGACTGCAGGAGAAGGTCAAGTTAGGACAGARACAGTCCAACAGGCTTATTTCTTATTATTCTGCTACAATTTCTCAATTGTAACCACTGTTTCAAATGACTGAGCTGTGTGCTTTCCTTCTCCCCTGCAGTTGGCCATGGGCAGAGTGAGGGTGACCGTATGGTTGTCTCAGATTTCCACGTCTTCATCAGGGACAGCTTGCAGCACATTGATCTCATGAAGAAAGAGCACCCTGAGCTGCCTGTTCTCATCCTGGGGCACTCCATGGTAAGCACCATCCCCTCCCCTCCCAGCAGCACCCAGGACATGCCATGGTACTGACGTGGGTGCCACGAAATAACTCATTCCACAGCAGGAAAACAAAACCACAAGGAACCTTCCTTTCCCTGCATTCACTGGCTGATTTGCCAGCATGCTATAACACCAAGATCTGCCCTGAGTAAAGCCAGTCCTTAACTTTCCTACCCYCACTATGGCTCTAATTAGTGCCATTTGCCACGAGGGGCTTGTTTTTTAACAAGCCCATTCATTCCCATGGATATGTGGTAAGTCTCACTTCCCCTTTCATTTTAACCAGTAACCAGGAGGTTAAGCCCTCCAAAGCTYTGTGAGCAGCATGGGGATGAAGCATGAAAACACCCTGTAGCCTCATTCTGTTAAACAACCTAACAGGAGAATGTACCAGGGATTAAGGCTGCAAAAACAAAGGCACTGATTTGGTGAACAGATCTGAAGCCTGATTCTGACAGCACGGGCCAAATCCCTTTATTCAAGCTAACAGTATTCCCACTGATGTCATTGATCTGCTCTCCCTGCCTTCCCGGAGGAGAGGAAAATGAACAAGTGCTTTGGGATTCAGTCCATGCTCGGATAAATAAGTGTTTCTTGCATAAGAAGGCATGGCCTGCTCCGGAGGGCTCTCGTTCCCCAAAGCCGCTGTAACGAGGAGCTCATTTCCCACTGAGGCYTTGGAGATGCTTCTCACTGCTGCTCCGTTTAACGAGCCCCTGGTTCTCCAGCAGCGTGGAAGTTCCCCAGATTTTTCCCTTGGCAACCAACCCTCTGCAAGCTTTCCTGAGCAATCCCACCCCATCCCCTCCATCCCCACCCCTCACTGTCCCCATCCCCAGCCCCTGTCCTCACACAGGATGGCTCAGCCTGGCTGGTGTTCAGCTCCACGGGCTGGGTGTTTGCTGCCAGGCSCTGGGCACAGCACTGAGGGGCCAGRGGGACACTGAGGAGGAGAATATTTAATTCCCATTAATTAGCGAAGGGTTTGGCATGCTGAAGGCAGCATTGCTGTTGCCCGGGTTACCAGGGGCACAGCACGGAGCAAGCCTGGCTTAAGGCATCGTCCCAAGGCAGCACCTGYCTGTCTGTCAAGCTGATAAACCTCAACTTATTTATCAAGTCTCACCAGAATTGCCTCTTCAGGCATTTTCTTCTTACTTCTTAGTCCTTTTAAGTAAGGAGGACACAAGGCATCCCAGGGAGCTGATGGGCATTGCACAGAGTTGAGTTCAGTGTGACGTGAGGGTTTATAGCATGAGAACAGAAACCAGATCTCTTCTCCCCCACAAAAACCAGACACTTTCAGTGCTGCTGCTCCTCCAGCCTTCCTTGCTGACCACACTGCACTCTCAGTGGGGCAGAAATAATTGCTTGCTTGGACTAAACCCCTTCCAGTAACAAGATTACTGTACAAACAAGATGTTGGCACCTGTATTAAGCTGTGGGCTGTTATTTTGCATTGCAGGGGGGAGCCATCTCCATTCTGACAGCTAGTGAGCGACCCAGTGARTTTTCAGGCATGCTGTTAATCTCTCCTTTAGTGGTAGCCAGCCCAGAAGTCGCYACTCCCATCAAGGTAAGAGCAAACCCGCGTTGCACATGATCCCCTTGCTCTTCTGCAGAGGGGAAAGTGTAAAGACCTCTGGCCTTGAAATGCAAAGCCCTGCTGGGATCTGTGTCCCCCAGATGCCAGTCAATACTTCTCTTCTGAGTGCCTCCCACACAGTTCCACCTACTTTTCAAAGGGGAAGCAAATCCTGATCCTGTCCAGAAAAAACTTACTTAAGCAAGAGCCGGGTAACGGTGGGAGCAGACTGAGCTTTCTTCACCTCACCCTGTGGCAGCCCACACAGTGCTGTCCTTTCCCTTCCTCTCCTACAGCTTTCTTCCTGACTCATGCAGAGTCTGGTATAGTTGCAATGCAGGCTGCTGGCTAAGTCAGGCCAGGGTTATTTTTGGCATTTGGGGGATGACCGATTTCTAAACAGAACTAGAGCTCCTGAATCCCAGAAATCCTTTGTGAGCCTCAAAAGAGGCTTCCAGCTAAAGCATCATTGCCCCACCTGCATCCGATTTGCTTGGTACCATAACTGGTTCTTGTCCAAACCATCCCTTTTGGTTTGCATTTAGGCTTTGTCCCWCTCCCATTCACCTCTGCCCTCCAGAGCTGTTTCTGATCCACAATTGCATTGCCCAGTTTGCTCTTCCCCAGGGAAGTTCTGCAAAGCAACAGAGCCTCAGCTCTCTCCTCCTTTCTGYATTTTTGAAAGAATAAACAACAATCCTAAAAAAAGCTGGAAGCAAAGAGAAGGAGCAGCTAAACCAGCAGGAAGAACAGAGCATCTCATTCCCCCAGGACTTGTTCCTTTATCCTTTCTCCTTAGACTCCTCTGCTAGGGCTAGCTTCTTGTTTTAATCTACTTCTAAGCTATTTCTCTTTTTTTTTCCTTCTACAAGGAAGCAGACAGATTGCCTCAGCTTTCCATATAATTCTGTCCCACCTTCTGCTGTAGCCAAAGCCATCCATGTACTCACAAATCATTACAAACACCAAAGGGTGCTTTCTAATCACCTCTCTTTTCCACTGAAGAAAATGCATTAACACCTCTAGCCTTAGGAGGCAAAACCCTGCTGACATCTGCACCACCTGGWTGCCAGTCAATATTTTCCTTCTAAGTGCTTTCCCACAGTCCAACCTAATATTAAGAGGGGAAGAGAATCCTGAAGTTATTCAGTGCAGGTAAACCTATTTAAATAGGAGTCAGAGCATTAAAGTCTGGTTTTAGGAGGCAGATTACTGATTCTTCACAGATGAGGCTACATTGGGCATAAGTGTGCCGTGAGCAGCAGTGCCCCTACTTTTTCTTACATTGGACAGGAAAAAGGAATAAATATTAAGAGAAAATAATAAACAGTGTCTGAATATGAGAGAGACTGTCAGCCTTTTTTTTMTTCTCAAGGGAAATAGGGAAATATTGCTGTACCTTTCCCTTTTGTTAGATTCTAAACCCTTTCTGAAAAAAAGGATTCCCAGTTCTGTGGGAAGTAGCATTRCTATAGTCTGGTTTGTTGCAGATCTGTACCAGATGTTGCTTTATTTCAGTGTAAGAAATAAATGCAATGATGCATTATTTAGGTAGGAAATCCTATTCTCTAACTGGAGTATTTTGGAAGTGTTTCTATGGTCTCTTTCCTAGAGAGTCTCTCACATGCCATATTACAAGAGCACAGTCAGTTTCTTTCTCTTTCAAATCTATTGTTGCATCTCAAAACTGATAAAAAATTAATTATTCCTGAAATAGCTCTGCTCTGTCACACTCAGTTGAAATCAGTCCCGGAGCTGAAAAAGTATTTGCAAGAGGAAGGGCTGAAAACAGGGAGAGTATTCCTGCATAAACCACGTTTTCCCATAAAGCTGTGTGTTTTTTTTCCTCAGAGAGTCAAAAAACATTTCATGGTGATTGTGTTTCTGAGGAACAAAGGATTAGTTTTCCCTTGGAACTGGTATGACTTCTCAGCCCTGGGCCATTTCCCAAGGACCATTGCATTCATCCCTTTGCTGGGGAAGTTTCCAGCTGAGCAAGAATTTACCTTGGCCTGAACAAACGAGGGCTCAAGGCAACAATAACAGCGAGCCAGAWGACACGCTGGGTCCTTCAGTCCCTCTTAAAAATACCTTCCCTGGCTGCCCAGCCAGCCCTGGCAGCACAGCACAGCGTGTTTGCAGGCTCTGGGCAGGAAGATCAAATGCTGCTCTTTGCAGAAACACGGTTTCACCAGTGCCCTATAAATCCTGTGTCCTGATGGAAGCATCCCGTTGTAAATCCAGGGGAGTGAGAGGGATCTTGCTGCCTTGCCCCTTTTCTTCTCAACTGACCTGGACAAAGTTCAGCTCTGAATCTTCGGAATTTCAAAGGCTGCAGAAACAGGAGCCACATATGCTGGCAAAGGGCAGGGGTGAAAGAGCATCTCCCACYACATTTCTGCTATTGAATGTTTTGAAAAAAGGTGGGCAGGACAACCYCTTAGGAAATATTCCCTGGTGTTTAATCCTGTACTGACCCTCAGCCTATTGTTTGAGGACTCACTACACAATATTCCCCCTTTGCSTTTTGTGTTTTCTGTTTCACCTCTTGCTGATAATTGCTTCCCAATCCAACTGGACATKATGTTGCTCACTGTCATTCAGCCTGAATCTGCACCAACTAACGCTGCAAAGGACTTGGTTCCTGAGGTAGAACCAAACTAGAAGAAAGTACTATATTAAAACCTCCCCTTTTTTTTGGTATTGTTCTGCCCAGTTTAGCAGAGGTGATAGTCATCGGGTTCAGAATCCCAAATCTTGCCTGGGATCCATGAAGGTGGATCAATCMATCACTGCCTGGAATTAACACGAAATGAAGAAAACCCCATTCCTGCTTGGATCACTCTAAGCTCATACCTGCATTGGTGTGGGTGTATTATTTTACTCCTCTGGCTTCAGAGGCCTCAGCAGAAATTAACTTTGCTGACGCAGTGTCACAGACTGGTTCCTGTCACATCCACCCCAAAGCATCCATGTGTTCCCAAACCTGCTGTGAGCCTTTACTGCTTTTCACTCCTGAGTGACTTTTACTTCCACCTTGCGTTATTCCTCTATTACCACAATTAATCTGTCATGTGTCATCTGTGATCTGAAATGCCAGGGAGTGCTCCAGAAGTGATTAGGTGTCTGCAGAGACAGAGGGCATGGGGGCCAGCCTACCTGCAAGTGTTAGCTGTGAACTGCCACAGGGCCATAAAACACAGCAGTGAGCACTAACTGCGTGTTTTSTGACTTAAGTGGTGATCACTTAATTAAAGGCAGCTATCAAAGATCAGAGCAGAACGCTGGTATCACTGTGCTTGTAGTGCTATTGAAATGAAAGATGTTACCCTTTCTTCTGCCAGCAGTTTCCAGCCTGGGCTGCTCRGTGCTTTTGTGTGTTGCTCCCAGGAGATGTGTCAGCAATGGATTCCTTTAGCCAGTGCACATTTGGCTGTTGTTTATTTACAGGTTCCCTGGAGGATATGCTTATCAAAATGAATGCAGCCCAGRCAGCTACTGCCCATTGCACCCAGGGTGCAGTGCAACCTGAAACCAGAGCTGTGGCATCAAGGAAAGGGCAATARAACACTGAAAAACAGCTCTCCAAGAGCTGGAAATTACCTTTCCCTATCAATGTGCTTAACTGAGGCCTTTTCAGAAATTAACTGGAGAATGAGGGAAAGGCACAGTACAATGAAGTTGTGCTGTTGCATGTGGACGGACAGCTGACGGCATTTCAGTCTAGCACACCCACTCCCTGCTCCCWGGAGCAGTTTAAACACTTTTCTCGTTAAGAGAAATGTTTTAAATATAGGACAGATCCTCCTCCCGAGTTAGCTGACAATTCTCAACTATTTAACTCCTGTGCTGACTTCCATCAGCTCAGGATTTGGGCCTCTGTGTTCCTCTCTTCCTCTAACTGGCTCTTTGACTGCTTTCTTTCCTCTCCCACAGGTTTTTGCAGCGAAAGTGCTCAACTTTGTGCTCCCAAACCTGTCACTGGGATCAATAGATCCAAACGCAATTTCCCGGAACAAGAAAGAGGTGAGAACCTTTAATACCATTTAAAGTCACTGCACAGTTAGTATCCTGTCCCAGTCCTGCCATTTCTCTTTTAGAAAAAAACCACAAGTGTTTTGCCGAATCGGGAGGGCAGAAATCTGGGCTGGTGTAGAAAAGGTGACATGTTTCTGAAAAGGTGACATGTCTCTGAAGCCAGGGGAGCTGACTGCACACATGAGGTTGTGGGAGATCAGCTGTTCCTGCCTGGGCTGTGCCTTCCACCCACAGCTGCTCTGGTTCCAGACATGACAGAGCTACAGGTGAGGTGGGAAGCACATGGGAGTCAAATCTTTGTCTCTGCTGCACCACCACCACTCATTACAGCAGCAAAACCCACCTCAGACAAATTGCAAACTGCTAAAGTCAACTTTCCCACCTCTGCCCTTTGCAGTGAAATCATGCAAAACCCTACAGACCWGGAGATTTGTTTTCCTGCTTCCAAACTAGGATCATGTTGTGCCAGATGCATTCAAGCAGAGGAAAAGAGCGTGCTTGTCCCAAAGAACTTGTGACAAAGTCTRCTGGATCACAGTCTGACTCTGCCACAGCCTTTCCAAACAAATGATGCATTCATGCCCAACCCAAGAATAATACTTAAAGGAGCTGCAGTTGAAGCAGCTGTTGTAACAGCGCAGCTCCAGCCTCACCCTGTCCTTGGAACTGTCCCAGGGCTGTTTTTACAGTGTCACAGCAGCCTGGCACTCGTCTCCCATTGACACCCACTCCTGGTAATGAGTGTCAGCCTGTTCATGCCATCACTGCACAAACAGGGTCACTGCAACTGCTGCAACYCCACCTGAGCAGGGCATTTCCTTCTCACTGCTGTGGGAGGGGAGAAAGGAGAGAAACACAAACCACAAGTGGATGGATGTACTTGGGCTGAACCCAGAACTTGGTGCCTTTCAGAAATCAGGTTGAATTATAGAAAATAGCACTCAAGGGTGTCTTGGGAGCTTTGCTGGTGTAGTGGTCACTTGTTCCTTTACTCCTACGCCAGCTCACTCTCACTGACAGATGCTGTAATTTTCCATGGTGTTCATGCAWTGGTTCATACCTTAACTAGGAGTTAATGAATTGTGTTTCTCTGGAGAGGCAGCTGGRCCAGCATTAGAATTGGAGCTGAAAGGTGAGGGCAAAGATGATGCCAGCATCTGTTTGAGTACAGTGCTTCAGCCTCAGCACATCCCCCATCTTTGGTTCACCTAATCAGAAAACTGGAAGGCAAAGAGTCTCCCAGAATAGCCTCAAGGCTCAGGGCTGTTTCTTGGCACTGCCAGAGGAGGTTTTGTTCCAATGACTTTCAGTTCACTTATCTGTGAACAGAACATAAGATTTCACTGTGTTGGAGGTGGAAAGATCCAAGGAGCTGAGGAAAAGAAGACAGGGCTAGCATGGAGCGAGATCATGTGCATCCGCTGATGCACCATGTGACATATGCTCAAAAGTACCATATGAGGCTGCACAAAATACTTGCTTGGGAAGAAGACTGACTCCAATCTAGCTGTAGAAACCTGTTCTTAATTACATTCAGYTGCCATAACTTGTTGCATATAATTCAGAGAAAATGTTTAAATTAGGCAGTCAATTCACTGAAATGACACGGAGGAGAGTTTTCACATGTACATTTGTATTTRGAGGATAAAATCAGTGCTCTGGAGGAGGGGAGGAATTGGAGAGCTTTGGTCCCTACCTGAAGAGTGAGTGTGGCTGGGACATGTGGGTCTTTGCCTGCTCCTGSACTGATTTGTTATGTGACACCTGAACTCTGCTGCAGCTGCTCCTTAAGGATGTTTTAAATACACTCCAAGAGCTGGATCCTCTGCTGGAGGATGCTGCTGCTACATTTGATAGSTTTGTAGGGGAAAAGTGATGATGTGGGGTCAGCCTGGGTAATAATGCATTTAGGAAAGTGTCAGAGAGCTCCCTGGAATTGGTGCACGGTATTGACTGAGCACTTCCGTGTTGCGGTGAAGTTGGGAATCACCACAGCAACCACTGGACACACGTGATAATAAATGCTRTTGTGTTGTCTTTCTAATCACATATTTGCTGCTGCTTCCTCTGCTCTGTGATGCTTCAAGCCTCTAAAGSTTCCTTGGGGCGTTGGTTTTCCTCTGCCTTTTCCCTTTCTGTGGAGCAAGGGAGAGCCTTTTGCAGTGGATAAGGGTTCATTGGAGCCTGCCTGTAAAGGAGAGATGTCCAAATGAGACACAACCCCCATGTGCTGTGCTGCCTGCTCACCTGCACATGAACACACAGCTGGCAAAGCCTTTTCCTGACCCCCTTCCAACACCAGCATTTGAGGCTCTGAAGACAAGACAGCATTTTGGTCCTCTGGCTGCCTCTGAGCACACTCCACCCTCCTTTTGGGTTCAAGATGCTCAGGTTTAAAGTGCACAACATGCTGGAAACATCCATTATTTATATGTTACACACACACTCCTGCCAGACCAGCTTTCTRTTCACTAGAAACGTTTTTGGGACATCGTCCAAGAATTCCCTGATGGGTTTGTGTTCACAGAAAGCTGTCTTCAGGGTGTGGGGACTGAAACATGGCATCATAGTTGTTTGATGTTTGCTGCATCAAACACAAGAGAGACAAAAGAGAGCAAGAAGCAGCCTTAAAAACCAGTTCTGTTATTCCAAGGAGGAATGACATCACAATGGCAGGAGTCTCTTTACCCCACTAGTCTTTGTAGCTGCTGTGGCTGAGTGGAATGGTCCCCCTGACTTTAGCCTTGATCCTGCAAAGCCCACACAGGATGARGCTGCAAGGGGAGATGCAGATCTCTGAACAGGGCAGTGTGATGCAGCATCCTGATGGCTGCTTCTGTCTYAGAACTACATAAAGATAAAAAGAGCTGCTGGGAGAGGCCCTGGGGAGCCTTTGCTGGCATCCCTTTCTGTTCTTGCCCCCTGTCACAGAGCTCAGTGCAGCAACAACAGCTTTTGGCTTGCATGGTTTACAGATTGCAGCCTGCAGAATATAAAGCTCATTCCCTGTCTTYCCCTCCTTCCCCAGTGAGCTGCTGCTTGGCACTCACCCTGTGCACTGAGCATTGATTCTGACAAGGACTCATGTTCCTTGATGGGAACAGGATACTGCCCCTGCAGTCCTGATCAGTCTGRTTTGGGATTGGGTTGTATTTTGTTTTATTTTCTCCTGCTGTCATCTACACAAAAATATTTGTTGGCTGATTTTTTGTAGCTMAAAAATTTCCATTCTTTCAGACAASWAGGGAAAGAAATAAACCCATTAGGTCATTCTTCTAGCATTTATGAGGCTGGAGAGGGGGCCAGCTCACATGAATTCATTAACACTGTTTTACTCCATGGGAAGAGACCTTCTGCCAATCCATACACCCGTCCATCCTGAATCCCCCTTGCAAACTCTCTTATTTATTGCATTCAATTAAAAAAAAAACCCAACAACAAACCCACGAACCTAAAAAATACTAAAATCCACCCATCTGAAAGCTGTGTTGCTTTAGCACAGCGCTGTGACATGGGTCCAGGTTAGGCTGAAACCAGTTGCTAAGTAGGCAGTGAAACACAGTGRTTTTGCTCAAAAAGCTGATGAAAAGTCACTGTATTTGGCTGAGGGTACATCCAGCTGCCAACAGCAGAGTGAACTGCACCCAGGGGGCACTTGGTGCTCTGGAAGTCAAAGCTGAACATTTTCCATGAGCACATTCACAAAGGGACAGTTTTTCCTAAACACAGGTGGCTCCTTGCCCTGTTTGAAGGACTTTGGAGAGCAGGGAAGGTGCAGCTCAGCAGGGATGGGGGTGAAAGATGCAGGTGCAGGTTTCTGCACCAATAAGCTGGTTGGGCACTGGGATGGTCCATACAGAGCCAAAGGGACCCTGTGCTGTTCCCCCTCTGCTTCCCAGGACCATCAGCAGGAGCAGGGGATGTTCAGCCTGTCTCAGTGTCATAACCATGGTCTCATCTTTGCAGTCACCTCTTACAAGCAGTTTTCCAGATTCTGAGCAAGCACTTGCTTTGTTGCAAGGGAGATGCTGTGTGTAATATGATGAGCTGTGATGATTATCTTTGTCTCCCTGCCAAAAATTACCCCTCAATTCAGAGTAGCCGTGCACAGAGACCAAAATACAACAACGGCCTTAATGAAATCCTGGAAACATCCACCATGTCCAAGGATCCCTAAGTGAGTTCCATGATAACTTGAATTTCTTCGGTCCAGTTCCAACACCAAGTGGAATGGCTGTACTGCTGTCCCTCCCTTGACCATCTTCAGTACTGTGGATTGGATTTGAAGGGGGTCAGCCACTAATGCTCCCAAATTTCCCCTCTCATCCTCCCCTTGCTGCATGTAGGGATAGCATGAATTCAGGCAGTGGGAGGTGATGGGGACTGGAAGCAAGAAAGTGATGAGGAAGGGCTGGTGAGCATCAGGGGCCTCGCTGCCAGCTCTGTTCCCAGGGCTTTGTGCTCCACACATTCCAGAAGACAACAAGGGAAACTGGAGTTAAACCCTCTGAYAAATTAATGCCCCCAGGTGGGAAAGCCCTGCCATGCACTGTTCTTCTGCCACCCTGAGGATCTCATCTCACAGGGAATGGAAGGCAGAATCCACCCCAAACCTTTGTGTCCATACTGCCCTACAGTGCCTGCCTGTGCCTACACCCACACATGGCTGCGTGTCCTTGGGTGGCCTTTGGGTCAGCTCCTAGCCATGGTCCCCCCAGGGCAGCCACAAGGACCTCAACTTAATGCCATCAAGGTAGAATTTGAACAGACCCCTCTGCCTGCAAGGGGAGGAGGAGACTGCTCTCAGCTAACCTATAAATAACCAGCATTTCTATAAACATCTGCCAGGGTTGGGAGAAACGGGAGGCTGTGCCAGAGACCAGCCCATAATCAAAGCATTCTGGCAAATATTGCGATGGTGGGGGCTGTGTGGGCCGTCTCCACATACAGTATACAAATATTTACTGTAGATTYGCCTGCTGCACTAACTACTCCTTCCTAGCAACTTTCTGCACCAGCTCTTGTGCATTTTTATCCCCTCACAGTCTGGCTAAGCAAGTTGTTCACTACTTTTTTTTTGCCTGCCACCTGATACCATCATTTGCTGCCTTGTCTGCCACACTTTACACGCAGAGATGACCCCTTGGCTTTGCAGTYCCATGTGTCAATTGTCTGTAGGTGCATCTCATGTTCTCCAGATAGGGAAAGAGAACATTTGAACCCTCAGCAGAGAGGATGAGGGTCTGGAGAACATCAGCTTTCAAGTAGCACAGTCTGAAGAACCCTCTGTAGAAGAGATACCAYTGGAATGAAGAAGGGCACAGCAGARGAGAAAAATGCAGGCAGGTGCCCCYGTGGGAATGGTCTCTGTCTGACACTGGTTGTTTCCCTGCATGAGCTCCTTTCATAGAGCTCTGGCCTGAATATTTTCCAGTGGTTGAAGAGAGAAAYACGCAGCAAAGAGCAGTGCTGGGAAGCCCCAGCAAAGACCTCGACCTTGGCTCTGATGGCAGGATGTCCTGAGAGAGTAGGAAATGACTGCAAGCCAAGGGAAGAGACTCCTCACMGCCAGGCTGATCTGCTTTTTCTTCTCTGTGTGAAATACTGCTAATCTTAAGTTACCTCTTTCTCCCTGCCAGATGGAGTCGTACACATCTGACCCCTTGGTCTACCACGGTGGCATGAAGGTGTCCTTTGTCATCCAGCTGATGAACGCCATTGCCAGAATCGAGCGAGCCCTGCCCAAGCTGACCCTGCCCATCCTGGTGCTACACGGCTCCTCCGACAAGCTCTGCGACATCAGAGGCTCCTATTTACTGATGGACACAGTGCAGAGCCAGGACAAAACGCTCAAGGTCATCCTGCTTTCTTGATTGTTGGGAGAYTGTGCTGTCAGTGCTGGCCTGAGCGTGAGTGTGAGGGGTGGGGAGCCTGCGGGTCTCCAGAGCGATGGAGGCAAAGATGGATTGGTGAGGCTGAGCAGTGACAGCCCCTTCCAGCCCAAGCTCAGCCCTCCCTGGGCTCAGAGTGGTGGCCTTTCACCAGCTGGGGGCAGGGGGTGGTGGGTGATCTAGAGGGTGCACCCAGAGGGTGTCTTGGATGTGAGCAGCTTGGTGCAGAAGCAGAGCAAGGCTYGTAAGCAGGTAAAGTGCTGACCCAAAAAGCTCTTCTGAACAATGCCAACTGTGCGAGCAGCAGCCTCACCTCGTGTCCCAGCGTGTAAAGGTGCACGGAGGTCTTTCCAAAACACTGAACAACAAAAGCCACTTCACATCTGTTCATTTCAAAAGAGCCACAGCTGATTAACCAATTGTTAGCACATGAATAAACCTGAAAGAGAGACAGGGAGACCAAGGGAAAGCTTTTGTCATCAGAAAAATAACTGGATGGTCTGAGCATAAAAGGAGAAAAWTTGCACAAGGCATGATGGGAACATCCCCCATTGTCCTTTACACTCCAAGGGCATGATAAGTATTTCCTCCTCCTTAGGGGGATAAGAAGCAAGAAATGGCTGGGGCTGGGATGTGCATTGTTTTCCTAAAGGGCAGCAGGGTGCTCTGGTACCCACAGGTGTCAGGCTGCAATGCCAACATCTCCCTGCTTGTCCAGGGCCAGCACCACCAGTGGCATCTCCCTGATTTCATAACCTGCTACGTCTCAGATAAAACCAGACAAGCTGTGGGCAGGATGTGTCGGACCTGTGGGTGTTGATGAGAGGGGACTGAAGGCTGCTTTGTTCATGCAGATTTATTTGATTTGTGCTAATCTCTGCTCTCTCCCTGGCTGCAGGTGTATGAGGAAGCCTACCATGCCCTCCACAAAGAGCTGCCYGAGGTCTCTACCTCTGTCTTCACAGAAATACTGACATGGATTGGCCAGAAGGTCCCAGCAGCTGGGGAAGCCAGCCATTCTTAAGAGCAATTGCATTTGCAGCTCTTACTGGGGTTTTCTGGGAATAGATGTTTTTCTTATTAGAAATCTCTCAGAAAAAAAAATCTAACATGGAGGGATTTTTGGGATATTTTATCACGCACAGCATAAGGGGTGGGGGGAGAGGCAGGGGGTGGGGCATTATTTGCTGATGGAAATGGCCATTGCCCTAATCTGGAGAAGAATTGATAGCTGTGGGATGCCCCTCACCCACCAAACTTTCCCCAYGGCTTCCCCTTCTCTGCTTTCGCCRGGGTGACAGGGATGTGTTTATACTGCAATAATTATTGGTGTATAAAAGAAATCAGTATCTTCCACTTCATGGTTTTGATGCCAGGTGCGTCCCTTGCCCCCACCATCCAGTACCTTAAAAACCCTGGTCCTTGAGAGGAGAGCACTAAAYGAAGGTGCTGGGTGATGAGGAGAGGCTAAAGATGGAGCTGACTGCTCCCTGAAGGTGAAAGGCTGATTTTCAACATCAGACCCATTTGGATACTACCTTTTTAAGCAGATCAGGCCAGGGGAGAGCAAAGAGACGCTTCCCCCGCCGCCCTGCACGTCCTCTGCAAGTTTGCACTCGGGGAAAGCATGTGGAACAGTGCTTTGATTTTCATCATCAGAGCAGGATCCCAGAGGGAAAAGCAGGAATATGGAATCAAACCCACTTAGCACATTCAATTCCCATGCTTTTCCCAATGTCAAACCCCATCTCCTCTGCAAGATGAASTATTCTGTAAATATTCCTAGGGACAGGGTTTTTTCCTTCTTTCCTTTTYTTACTTGCCTTTTTTTTTTCTTYTGGAATTAATCACTTGTGCTACTGAAACTGAAAAAGCAAAGTTATAAGAGAATATAGTAATATAATATATGATGTATATAGAGATGGCTGGAAGCTGGAGAAGAAACGGGAGGAGAGTAAAGAAGGAGTTAATCATTCCTTCTCTTGGCAAGGAGCAATGTTGTCCTACCAGGATCCAGTCCTCTCACCATAACTTTACAGTCATAATCTGTTGTTTTCCTTCATCAGTTGGAAAATGTCCTGAAAATAATGCTAGAGAGAAGTGCAGAGCATCTGGTGGGTGGGGAGTAGCAGTGGGTGTCCTCATGGTCCACTGGTTTAGCAGGAGACCCACAGCATGAGCAGAGATGCTGTCCCAGCTCACCCCAAAGAGCCCTGGGGCAGAGCACTGAGGGGCAGAGCACTGAGGGGCTGAGCTCTGCCCTCCAGGGCACGGGGGGAGCTTTAGGCAGAACTTGGGGTGTGATCACCCATCCAACCTCTGCCTTGCTGGGCCAGGGGCATCCACAGACCCTGCTCTACAGCTGCCCTGGAGGAGCCTGTGGACGGGGTCTGCRGTGCAGGTGAGCCAAATCCTAGAGCTTCCTGAGTCTCTGCTAGCAGTAGGATGAGAGGAAAGAGTTTAGACCCTGGGTTAGAGCAGAGACATTGCACTGACACAGCAAAAGCTGCGTGGTGATGACAGGGTGGCTGTGCAGGCCGATTTATCCAGCACAATGGCCCTCAGCAGGAATTACTGGCACTATCCAAAGGGAAGGGGTTTAACCTGCACCTCTCCCTCCAGTTTTGCAAGAAGAGAATGCAAATGTTGCACTATGAGAGAGTGGGGCATCTCCCCCAGTGACAAACCAGCCCTTACTGCTTTCCTTGGCAGCAGCGGGAGCCAGCGCTGTGTCTTGAGCTGCTCTCCCAGGGCTGGGGCCCTCCTGTGACAGTCAGGGGGTCACCCACCTCGTTTTCCTTTGGAAGCAGTTCTGGCAAGGTTCAGGAAAGGGACCTCTGTGCAATAACAGTCAGGATCAGGGCTCGGTCCCATTCAGTCCCATCACGGATGGATGAAAGACATGTGGATGCAGGTTGTGTCCTTGTAGTTGCCCCAAGGGGCCCAAGTCAGGGAAGCTCTTTTATACAGGTTGATCCAGGCACTTTGGCATTTGTATTTTCTTGCCTCTAAAGAGAGGAATGTGCTGTAGTTCTCCCAGCAATGCCAGTTTTTTATTGAAATAYTATTCCAGTGCAATCAGCTGTTCTCAGCAGCCCCTGCTGAACCTCTGGTGACACTCTGGGAAGGAGCGATGTGCACGTCACCTGCTTTCCATCTTCCAGCAGCCTGTCTTGAGGCAACTTCTTGTGCCTGAGCAAGCTCCCTCCTGGCCAGATGCTGCTGGAGAAAGACAGCAAGAAGAGGAAAACTGCAGCAGTGAGAAATCTCACCTGCTCCTTCAGCTGGAAGGGGAAACAAGTGGGTGTGATCCAGAGGTGACAGACGTTGCGGGGGYAGTAGCAAGATGATGACTTAAGGATAGGATTTTCGAAAGCACTTTTCKTGAGGAAGTCAGGAGGAGTAAATCAATGCCCACATTCTTTACATCCCTTCCAAACTGACAAGCACTTTGCAGGAGGGGAGAGGGAAGTGACCCTTCAGYGGAAAGGTCAGAGCCCGTCTGCTCCCTCCAACCTGGCTTCAGGCAGAGGAAAGTCCGTTGTCAGTGCCTTTGCTAAAATATGTCCTTTCACCCAAGAAACATCTGCAGCTGAACAGAAATAACRGGAAACAATTTACATTGATTTGGGGAAGCCTTGTCCCTCTGTCCATAGCCAAGCTCAGCAGTGGCACATGGCCTGGGGAGGCTATGTTTGAAAAAAAAAAGGTTAACAAACAAAACCCGCAAAGAACAAAAACAAAAAAAAAAGCCAAACAGCCCAAAGCCAYGGCACAGCGGCAGGTATTGCCACCTTCATCCTGTTTTCTGAAGAGTTACCTTCTGAGGCAATTAACACAGGGAAACCTCTCCCAAAGGAGCCGGGCAGTGCCTGCACTGACCCCACACACTCTGGGCTGGCTTCTGAGCAGAGAGGGGCCACAGCTCCTGGGCAGGTGGGGAAATGAGTGCTGAGGGAAGGAGCCAGGAACAGTTCAGCCTGGGCCAGGTGAGACACTGATGTGCACATTGCAGCTCTCACTGCTGCTGCTGATCCCTTCCCCTGCCTGTGAGCTCCTTTGTACTGGGTCAGTTAGGTTTCACCAAGCCCCGGAGGAATTCTTCCTTGGCTGACCGGATTAGCAGTGAGCGGAGCAGCTGCTGGGGAAATGTAATTACACTCTATTTCCAGCTGGCAGGTAGCACTGGCAGGGAGCACAGCCAGCCTTATGAACCACACCAGAGCCTGGGCTGCCCTGGAGAACGGGTGGCACTCGTGACTGAGCAATAGCAACGTGTAACTACTGTATATCTCACCACCTGTAGCACTGAGAGGCCCTTCCCCACTGCCTAACCCATCATGTTTTCTATTTAGCCTGTTCTTTTTATACCACTCACCTTAGCACACTGCCAGAATAAACCCACAGTTGGGATGGCATTTCCTTTTACGAGTAATTCCTGAGGTTGTCTCTCTTGTTCTGTTGTGTTCCAGTTCAATAAAATACATTTATATATAAATATACATATATAAAAACGTATATACATACACATGTATTTTCAGTGGAAAAAAAAAACATATACAAGTTTAGGATTCTTAAAGGAATACAATGTATATTGCAACTAATAATAAAGTTATGTTTTCTGAACAGAGCGTGTCTGACAGGGCGTCATTGGTGACCTTTCCAAAGTGCTTCCCACACCCAGATTAAACAATAGTGTGGAGCTGSTGGAGGATGTGCAGTAACAAGCAAACTCAGCCTGCTTCAAGACCTGGCTCCCATGCTTTTACAAGCCCATTAAAACATGATGTTGGTCCTGAACTAAACCCAGTTCCAACAGGAAGCATCTGCACTGTGGCAGGAGCAACTCCTGATTAAATCCTACCTTTTGTCCCCAGCTGTGAGTGCAGATCAAGCTGGGGAGTGCTTTGATGCTCTCAGCTCCCAAGCAGTGCCAGAGACATCAGCAGCACTAAACCCAGCCTTCATTGACTCATTTCATCTTCCTTGTGCCTCCAGTCACTAAATCAAGAGAATAAAATTCTCCTGCATCCCTCTGCAGGGTCTGTGTCAGAAGCTCTGGCCAAGGACTTTGATGCACAAAAMCACAGAAAACAGAGCAGGGGCTCTCCACCAAGCCAGCAGGCACACCATGCTAGCGAGGAATTGTCAGTAACAACATCTGCTTGAATATTGGCAAGTCCACACCTCTTTCTTCTGGTATTTTGGTGGTTCATTAAGCTCATCACAGTTTTGGGGGTCACTGGAGGGTGTACACCATGGTGCTGGGACAGGGACTGAGCACAGGAGGGAGGGGACAATGCTTCACAAGGCTGGGAGCAGCAGCAGCACAAAGGAGCTGCTTTGGCAGGGCACTGCTCCCAATGTCACCACCTGGTGCCTGGCGAGCTGGCACAGCCACAGGTGGCCTTTCTGTTTTCAGCCTGTGCTTCTACTCTGATCCTGTGAGCCTGCAGGAACCCTGAAGCTTTGCCTTTTTCCTCAGCCTGTGCTCACTCTTGTGTTGTCCAAGGCTGGCTCTGGGGGTTGCTACAAGATGGGGATCAGCCAATGAATGGTAAAGCAGGAGCCAAAGCAGTGCCAGGGTGAGGGGGAGAGCTCCTTAGGAGTCCTTTCCTGTTCCTGTCACCCTGGCAGGGACAGCCAGCCCGTGTCACCACTGGGACATGAGAGGTGTCCTACTCAGCCACAGTGCAGCAGGGCCATGCCTCTGCCAGCCCAGCACCCAGGCCAGGCTCAGGCACTGAGAGCAGCCAAAGGCTGCAGCTCCAGTCACTGGTGAGGAATTTTAACTCAGACCTGCTCAGCACATAAGCCACARTGCTTCACTTCCATTTGCTGCTGGTTAAACATCAGAGGAGGGAGGTTTGGGGCTGCAATCCACTGCAGAGCTGCTGCTGGGGGTGAGCAGGGACTTGCACCTCTCCACTGCCCCTGCCCAGCTTGAGGCAGAATCTCATCCCAGGAAAAGGGAGATGGAGCTGAAGGGTTGTACAGATGCCACCACATCACCAGAGACCTCCAGTGCCACACACACGCTGCAGTCTGCCCGCCTGCCAGCMCCACTCCTGCTCACACAGCCTCTCAGGATGGGGCTGGGGGCATTGATCCGTCTTTTGCTTTTCTTTCCCCTAGTCTCCTTTGCACACAGAAACAGGGTAATGATCTTCCAGCTCATCCATCTGGGACGCTCCCTTCCTCCATCTGATGGGGAAGCTGCTGATGTGGAGCTGCTGCWCACCTTCCTGCTGCTCTCCAAACTGCTGCTTCATTGAGCAAAACCACCACGACTGTGAGCAAACACTGCASAGCCCACATCTCCCAACAGGCACAAGCCAAACAACCGGCCTGCCCATGGCCACCACTCCTCACCAGGGAGGGACACAGGATTAATTTTCCTTCCCCCTGGAGGAAACTCTTCTGTGTATGGAAACATTCCAGGAATTCAGATGAAAAACAATTCCTAAGAGATCAATTAAGAGTTTGGATAGATCGCATGATATGTGCTATCCAAAGGAAACTTGGTGAACAAAGCTATTTGGCCTGGGGGGAGCTGATGGGAGGGCAAGATGTCAAGCATGAAAAACACTTGTCGTCTAAGAAAACACAGAGACAAGAATGGCAGAGGTGCAGGAAGGGCAGCTCAGGGGCAAAGAACAAGTGGTACCTTGTCAGTTTAGGAAGGTCCATGACCAAAGGCAAGCGAACCTCTGCCAGAGCAGAGCAAACCCTGGCATGATACAGAGTTCCAGGAAAAGCTGGGCTTTCCAGCCCACTCAAAGGCAGCAGCCTTTATGTCAGCACCTTGTCTTTATTTACATAATAAAAACACACAATGGCGACACCAGCAAAGCTCTCTGCAGGCAGACACAGTGAACCCTGGAGCAGGAGATAAACAACTCTGGTTCCCAGTCCAGAGGAAATTAAAAAAAGCAGCTTTTCCCTCCATCTGGACTACAGGGTCAGCCTCATGCTGCAATGACAGCAGAGAGCCACCCTCCCTGTGGGCTGCACAGGGCAGCCCTTGTCTTTGTCACATCAAAGGCTTCCGGGCCTCAACCCCTGCACTTTTAACACCAAGTGCTCTCATCCCATGCTGAGCYGATGCACATCCCATGCTGAGGCTGCTCTGTGCCAAAAGCCAGCCTCGGGGCACTCTCGTGACTGGCGAGTCCTGGGTCCCCAGAAAAGGATGGACTTGGCACGCCAGCCTGATGTGCCCCCTCACTGACAGAACTTGAGCACTGTTGTCAGCAGAGCAAGAAGTACTGGTCCCTTGTGTGCTTCCAGATTGGGAAGGATGCTGTTTAATTGCCTGGAAAAGGTCACAAAATCAGGAAACAAGAAATACCACCTCCCCTGCCCCCAGGAAGAGAAGGAACAGCCACCCCTCACCCCAGGAGCAGCATGGCCAGAGGCAGCACTTTGAACAGCTTTGAWGATGCTGTGCCCGACTGGCACTCAGACCAGAGAAGCAGCACAGCAGGAAAACAACTCCCCTGAAGCATTTTCAGCTCCTCAAGGAAAGCCTTTGGAAAAGGGAAGGAGATAGAACTTGCCACCAACAATTCTTGTGAAACTCCTGGATAATTTTTAGTTTTAGATCCCGGGAGAAGGGCGATGGAARGAGCTCTAGAGAGCAGATTGCTGGCTCCTGTTACGGAAGCAAGCTTAATAAAATTCATAGAAATATTGGTAGTTCTGCTATGCGTGCCAAGAATGTGTTAGAATAAAACCTTCTGAGCAGAAGGGAGAGATACAATGWCAACTTAGCCTTGATATGAAAGATCAGCCTTCATCTCCTAAAGAACATCTCAAGGAGCAGTAGCTAACACACCGTCTTGCCTTCCCCTCAGAGCATTTCCCTGCACAGCCTGCTTCCTACAGTTCATCACTGTCACTTTCTTGTGCAAATGATACTGGGATGACCCTGGCTCACAAAGAAATGATAAAAGGATAAAGAGGGAGGCACTTTTCCCTACTGAAGTTTTAGTGACCAGCTCAGTTTCATCCACGGGAATGCCACATCAAGTTATTTTGAACCAAATCTACCCTACCCTAAGCCCATGAGCTGCAGCTTCTGGCCCCACCACAGCACTCCCTTCAGCTCCTTTTCCTAACCCAACATGCCAAAGCAACAGCTTTGCCTTCTGCCAGAGCAGCCAACACTGCAGGCAGAATGCTGCTGTCAGGAGCAAGCAGATTTCACTTTCCAGTCCTGCTTTCTTTCCCTTTGAGCTCTGCTGGTAACAGGAGGAAGGAGAGGAAAGTTCTCACATTCATTTTCAGAGCCTATTTTGGGAACTGGCAGCCAGACCCTTGGGACCAGAGCTAGCTGTTTACATGGTACTGATTCTCTTCCAAGGCTTTCCTTAATCTGCTGAAATGCCCTTCAAACCTTGTCCTGCTCTTGTAGGCTTGCAAAGTTAACCACAACCAGGGAAAGCAAAGGGCATGTAGATGCTCATCCCCTTTTCCCCAGATGCTGATCACATTGTAAACTTGAAGTTCATAGCCTGACTGGCTTAAGGATCTGCATGTCCACAGCTGCACCCAAATGTGGCTGCTGTCCCCTAATTGAATGTATCTCTGCAGCCTTTCCTTGGATATTGCCATCAACCCACTTCTAATTTCCAACCTAAAACCCTTAAAACCACTTGCAGCTAAAAAAAAGGTTATCTTTGTCCTTCTCCCTCAGCACTTCATGAAGGCAGGCAGCAACCCCAGCAGAGCCAGCACCGTTATTCAAAACAGGCCCCGATAAATGGTTTGCTGGTGTGGTCTCTTTCATCTTTAGGAATTTGTTACATCCAATCTGTTTGAGCTTAGAAGGTAAAACTGAAACCTGCTCTTCAGCACACCCACCCCTTGTGAGCAGCAAACCAGGCCAAGCCATGACTTCCATCACCAGCCCTAGCCAGGATCACTCATCCCTGGGAGCTGAGCAGACACAGCTCCCAACCTGCAATGGGCTTTGCCAGGCTGCCCACAGCAGGAGAGAAGTGTCACCCTGAGCAGACGAGTCTGTCAATGCACACTGACTGCGAGCTGCTACGTGGGAAGTGACATCTCCAGTTTGACCATGACTGCACTACATGAACAGCTCAAGCCTCTTGCAGAGGCTCATCCTTTACTCCAGGCTTTCACAGCACAATGCTGCTCCTTGTGTGCACTGTTTGAGTCCCAAAAACCTGATTAAGCCTTGAACTTTTCTAAGCCCTCCCTTCAACAGCATTAGTCATTCAGATGTTATTAGTATCTCCTTTCCAAAAATTGCATGTTTTTACACAGAGCAAGATGGATGCTCCTTCCCTGAACTCCAGCCACACTCCAAAGTCAACAGGGGCTGCACAGCCAGCTCTGTTTACTCAAACAATTGTAACCACCCAGGCATACAAGAAAGCAGACAAAACAAGAGCCCATGTCCTCAGAGAGGAAGGACTGCCCAGGCACTTCAGCAGTCAAGGTTTTGGAGAAAACASATGCTTCAGACTCCAAACTTCTGAACAAATCAGAGTGGTGAAGCACAATGGCTGAGAAATCTCCATYCTTGGATTTAATGGATAGTCARCAATGACAGGGGCAYAASATAACATGAAGAAAGGRAAAGAAAACTTACCTGTTAGCA